TCCTCCAAAATGTTGCTGCCTGTAACTAATTTGAGATGCGTTAGTGAACCTCTAATACACAGATAACTTTGCTTGTAAGAACGAACAGCTTTTCAAAGTAAATTTCTACAAGACAGACTAAATTATTTTCAAAGTTTATCCAGGACAGGGCTTACTACAGGAAGCAGCTTTCTCTCTTAAGCTAGAAAAAGAAAAATCCCCTGGAGTTACAGCAGTATTTCCTTAGCAAGGAAGCAGAGTCCAAATGTCTCATGAAGGGGAAAAAAAATTGTTCTGAAGAACGAGTACCAGAATGGTACGCAAAACGCATAGTTCTTACCAGGATCGATGTTTCTGCTTTCTAAAATCACCATGCAAGTCTCACGAAATTTCTTCAGCTTCTTAACTTCTTGTACCAGGCCTTTATTCTCCTCCTTTAGCTCCTTTATAGTGCTCTGTCATTAACACAGGTTGTAAGTGAATCAAGTTTCCAAGGAGATTTTCTTCTCATTAGTCAGTAATACCAAGTGTGATGCTAATGGCTTAACGAGCGCTCCACTAGCACCGAGAATCAGATCTTCCCCTTCTGACTCTACCATCGCAGCAAACTGGTCTGCTGCAGACCTTTACTCCTGCTTCTTGACAGGATTAATACATTTATCACATCCACATGTCATAGCAAGTGCTAGAGAAATTTGATCCTAGAGGTACATTCCTTTTAGGTAATCCTAGCATCTCTTTGCTTGTGCTCCCTCTTCTATACATAAATAATTGAAGAGTTTGATGCGTAGAAGAGCATATAAACACTGGGAAGAAAAGGGCCTCTGAGAATCTTTAAGCCACAGCATTATTCCCGACACAGTTCTGATATCACCAGGCAATCGGATAAGCTGATCAGCCTCACAAGCAGAATGCGACTCTCCGAGAGAATCAATAAGCTTGTGGATTAGGGTGATCCAGCTGATAGTGTCAGAAGCTTTTTGAACATTTCATAGGAGGTCTCAAAGGCTCTTAAAGAAATCAAGATGTGAGATGAGAGGAACGATCACCCCACAGATTAGTAACTGGTTGAGAACTGGGAAATAAAGTGAGCTTTTACAACTGAAGGTTACCAGCAGGGCCCCTTGCACATGCCAGAAACTGTGCTAAGTGTGTCCTAGAGTGATCTGTAAGAGGTGGTGAATAACGGGGTGCCAATTCTGAATCTAAACTTGATTCAAGAAAGTCAAATCTGTTTGAAACAGAAACCACTGAGCAGTCCCAGCTCTCTCAGCCTTTCTTCCAGTCCCTTATTCATTTTAGTGGCCCTCTGCTGGACTCTCTCCACTATGCCCACGTCTCTCTTGTACCAGGAGCCCAGAACCAGACACAATATTCCAGGTTTGGCCTCACCAGTGCTGAGCTGATGGGAAAACACTTGCAGAAGAATACAAAGACACTAAAAGATTAGGCAACAACATGACACAGTGGCGCATGAAGAAACAAAAGCTTATATAAACTGAGCTCTGTGTTAAATACTCAGAAGAGAATGAGGTCACTGTCCCTCAAACTTAGTGCACAGCGGTGACCAAAATCCAAATAGAATGTTCTTCGTTACTAAAATGAGCCCATTCCTGAACCCACGCCTTCCATACTGTAAGCACTTTCACACCACGCTACCTGATGGGTCAACAACGCCAGCAGAGATTGGGCAAAAGGAACAAGGAAATTGAATAGCTTATCTACCATATGTTAGGAGCTATGGAAGAAAAAGAATTAATAGACCTCAAACCATCAGTGGCAAGTGATTATTTAGTTTCTCTTGATGTAGCTAGGAAGCATCTGGCAACATCAAGGCTGTTTTAATAAAATTTCATGTGAGTGTATACTTGTGAACTTGAAATATTCTCCCACAGGGAGTTTAAAATGGAATTAGAGCTCTGATGACTATTTAACAGTGGTCTGGAAGCATTATCCATCCAAACACATCCGTAGCTCTGCTGATTTCCAGGTTCTAGCAGATATCCTGAGTGTCAGAGGAGAAAACCCAGCCCACCCAAACTCTACTGACTTCCGATGGAGACAGGAAAATGAGCAAGACAAGCCTTTGATCTGACCCTGTAGCGATCAGAATATAAGAATTACTCAACGATTTATTTATTTCCCCTCCCCTTTTCCTTACCTGTGCTGCTGTTAGCCTGGAGTGTAGCTGTTGTTTGGCTGTTTCTAACAGCTGATTCTTGGTCTTCAGCTCTGCTTCTAGTTTGTATCTGTTGAGAGGTCTGTAGAGTCAAACAAAGATTTAGGGGCAAAAATATCAGTATTACACACCTTCTCTTTTACTTCCACAAACATGCCCTGTTTTGAAGCGTTTGCTCTTGTTCTGACCAAGAGCTTTAATCAGCAAACTTGGCAAGAAAGCTATACACAGGTGAGAGCTCATCGCAGCCCTCCAGGAGGGAACATTACTGCATGAGGGCAACTAATAGAAATTCGAGGAAACATACCGTCTTGTAGCTGTCGTCTTTGAAAGAGGTTCCACTTTCTTGGCAGATTTAGGCAACCTTAAAAGACAGGTGAAATACAATTACCAGAAGACCAGTGCATTCTTGCAGATTAACAAGTATGTTAGTTTCACAAAACCTGCAAAATGGGAAGCCATCTTTAGGACATTTGCCAAGTAATAAATCCATCAATATTTTACTCTCATTTACCCTTGGTTTGTAGCTTTGAAGACACCATCTGCTGCAATGTTTGAGCTAAAGTTAAAATTGGGATCTTTGTTGAACTCTAGATCTGCTGCTTTGCTGACGCATTGTTTCTTTGAAGGAAAAGCCATTTGCGTTTCTGCAAGAAAAAGACAACAATGAAAACACTACAGTCTACAAGAGATCACCATAATATACAGAACTACTGGGTCTCTTAAGCGTTCGATTTGAGGTAAATCACAATTATATCTGGCTGGAATGGAGACTTTAAGGTAGCGACAACTAAGGGCAGTCTTCAAACTTTACCCAGGATTAAGGGTCCAGAACAAGCCACAGATAGCTCAGATGGTGGACAGTGTTCAAACATAGTTACCAGGCTAGCACTAATGAGAGAAAGCTTGAAAGTGATAATAGAGGCATGATAATAAAGGAGTTCTCGACATCAAGCGGACAGCATGCCACAGGGTTCCAAGCAAAGCTGCCCAGTACTGGAAGCAAAACAGACACAGCCCACTTGAAATTCTCACTTAAGAGCGCTTCACATTTCAATTCACTATGAGTGGATACACTTCTAAAATAACACTATAGAGAACTAGCTTTCTATATAAAGTTTATTTGGCTTTAAACCACAGCTGTTTGAGTATATAAAACTTTGGTCACATAGCGGGTTTAGGAAGCTTCCCCCCCATCCCACCCCCCCCAGTTAAGTATTTTTCAAATGACATACCCACAAGCACACTTATACGAGAGTAACGTGGGAATTCCCACTGACACAGACTAGCTCCCATGTTTTTAACATTAAGCCTGAGTGCCTCGCATTTCTAAAATGCTGTAAGCAGTATCAAAAGAGTTATAGAAGTAAGGGCCTCTGAAGGAAAGCATCTTTCACCTCAGTAAGCAGGGATACAGACCCCTTCGGCCCAGCCCTGGAGCACATCCCAAGGGGCTGAGCTGGGATGCAGCGAGCAACGGCCCGCCCTGCTCAGGGGCACACGTTTAGCAAAAAAAGTGTTAAACGAAATCTTAAAGACAAAACAGTTGAATAAAGCCTGTCGTTAATTAGACTTCGCAACGGCCACCACAGACCAAGGCAGCATGGAGCTCCCTAACAGACGCCGCTCCCCGCCTATCCACCTCCCCGGCCGGCCTAACCGGGGCGCCGGCCCCCGGTGCCCCACAGCGGAGCAGGGCAGAGCCCTCTCCCCCTGCCCCCCGGAGAGGGTACGCACCTGCGGGCGGGCCGGCGTGGTGGAGAGCGCTGTAGACAGGGATGCGGGAGGGCTCGCCCTCCATGGCGGCCGCGCTCCCGTCAGCCGCCGTTTGAATCGAACCCGCCGCCAACCGGCCGTGCGGCCCCGCGCATGCGCAGGAGCGCCCCGGCGCGCAGCGCGCAGGCGCAGCCGCTGCTCCCTCCCGCCCCTTCCCTCAGAGAAGGCGCCCTGGGGATGGCGGCTTCCTCAGGGGCGTGTGCGGCTGTTTCCCCTTACAGCGGCCCTCAGGGGAGCCGGCCGCCGGCGGGGGGACCTTCCCTGCCTCCCGCTGTCTCGTCCCGTGGTTTGGGCACTCGAGGCCCGGAGCCCTCAAGGCCTCTGTGGCCTTCGGGGAGGGAATCTGCACCTTCCTCAGGGCGCCGTTGCTGCCGCTGGCATGTGAGGCATTAAAATTGCCCTCCCTCACTGTAAGGGGAAAGGAGGCATCTGTATAAAATGTCCCCCGGCTTTCTGAGGTGTTTTGACGGTGTTTTCCAACACAGTTTTCAAAATGGGCGAGAAGCCCTTCCGAACAGTGGTGTGAAAAGCTCCTCTGTGGAGAGGGTTTCAGTCAGTTGGCTGACGGCCCGAGGACAGCTCTGGTTGCCAAAATAACCCACCTGAACACCCAGGATGAGAACTGCACTGCGAAAACGCAAAACTGAAATTCGTTACATATTTCAAGCGGAGTTATTAGGTCTAAAAGAGTGTATTCCTCATCTACGTTGGGCAGTCGTGGCCTGTCTCCCACAGAGCAGAGCAAGCTACTTGTGGGTGTGAGACGGAGCAAATCTTTTTAAGATGTATGCTTCCCTTTTGATGGTTATATTGGAAAATATATTCGGCACTTAAAAGACGAAGAAAATGAACCACAGTGTTCTTGGTGAAAATGAAGCATCACACAGATTTAGGAAAGTTTGTCATAAGCATTTATTTAACGTCAACTTGTATAGAGAATGTTTTCTATTTTTCAACAGATAAAGGCAAGAAAGTGTTTGTTTTCCTGCTTGTTTCTGGTAGAGGAAAAAAAAATGTAAAAGTCAAGATTCACCAGATCTGCAAATTTTAAAAAAGTTACATGTTCGTAGGGAATGCCTTGAGTGGAAACAAGCTATGAAGACGACACGCAAAGCACCCGAGTCACTGAGGGGATGAGGAATCTCGCACTGAAAATCTTTGGCAGTACTAGAATTTCTTCTGATAAAACAAACAAATTGTTACTGAAAATAGGTTTGGGCTGGATTCTGCAGCCTCCTCCATGATCAGTGAGAGACTGTATCAACTCAAAAGTCTCGGCGAGATTTTTTTTTATAATATTTGAACTATTTTGATGAGATCTGTGAACATGGACTTCACATAAAGCAGTTTCTGGCTCAGTAGAAAATGAAAGACTTTTTTTATTAACAATACACTCTTCACTTGATATCTAGATTTTCAATAGTTGTGGGTTTGAGTTTTAGACTTTTTTTTTTTACATGAGCTCTCTTTCTCTGTTGTTAAATATCCGGGGAGATTCACCTCATGATTTCTCTCCTACATGACCTTGACAAGAAAACAAAATCTAATCACCTTGTAGGAAATGACAAAACAGGTTTACTCGATAAGTTTTGCGTACAGCTATGAATATGGCACCAGACACTGGAAGGTGAAAGGGCTTGTACTCCATCAAGACTGATCTCGCATCCTCTCGCTAGTATCAGATTTGCTGGTTCTGTGAAAACACGGGTATTTGCACAGCTGAAATACTAAGAAATAGTCTCAGATCTAGGAGAGGTGGGAGGAAAAAACTTATATTTACAGTTCCAAGGAGATTTCGACTTCCCCTTTCCCTAGCAGTACAGTTTTGTTTTCTGCAAGGTTTCAACTGTTGTAACCAGAACTTTGTGCACTAGATCGTTTGATCCAAACATCAGGCATGTCTGGTTGGCTGTTCGGTAGCACAACCGGACCTTCGCTGCCTAATCCAAATCGATTTTTCCATGAAGAGCTGTTCTGTTGCGATGCTGCTGGAGAGATATCAAAGACAGTCTCCCTCAGGTCCAGCCGCAGGGTATCTCTCTTCCCGTTCAAGTAACCTCTCTCTGTTTGACTGTACGAATCAGACAACTCTAAGACATCAGGACAAGAACTGGCTGATTCAGCAAGCTTTAGGCCTTGCTCAAAATCACTAATCGACGTCTCACTGGAGATGTTGAGCATGTCAAAAGAGCTGCCAAGAGAACAAAGGCATCTGTGAATTTTGTAGATGTCAGCAGCAGGGAGATGGCTGTTGTCTGAGGTATAATCCGACTGCTGCTGGGCAGTGTCACTAGAGCACTGGGATTTATTGAGCTGCCCTTCTTCTTTCATGCCAGCCGGCTGGATATGGTCCAGCCCAGACCCATCCCAAGCTTTCGGACCGTACTTTCGACATCGACAATCTCGGCAGAGCCTCTCCCTGTGAGTTTCTGCTCCTGAGCTGCTGTGCTTGTACGGAGAGGAAGTTTGCAGGGCAGGACACTGGCACAGGCCAACCTGCTGGTCTCCAAGGGTCTCCTGCAGATTCTGTCTCTCTCTTTCAAGAGGAGGGTGCACGCCTGTTCTGGGGCACCTGTTGTCTTCAACTTGTGTGTCTTCAGAAAGCACTGACGGCCGGTTGGACAGCTTGCTTGTGGAAGTGCTGTTGTCAAAACTGTCGCTGAGTTTTCTGGACAAGGGCTGGAGCTCGTATTGCTCGTTTGCCGTGTTGGACTCCTGCACTTTCCGCAACCGGTTTTGCTTCTCATTCCCCCCACAGGCAAAGCTTCCGTTCAGCCCGGAGTCATCAGAATAGTCTTTCATGGTGTGGGCACAAGGCCAAAGGATCTGCCCACAGTTCTTCTCTGGGCCGAAGAAGCAGCACAGTGACTGGAAGAAGAAGCTGGCAAACCCACAGCTGATACACTTGATCATCATGATGAATATCCCCAACTTCCGATACGCCAGCACCGTCGCAGGCAACATGATGACCCCTGCAGAGAAGAGAGCAGAAGCTGCCATGGCCGTGGCACAGCTCATCTGCTTCAGGGAAAAGGCCACTCGGCTCAGGCGGTCAGAATGGGGGCACAGATGATAGGAGATGCAGTAGTTGACGGTGAAGTCAACGGAGAGACCTACTGCAGCGGAAATGAAGAGAGACTCCACTGCGTTGAGCTGCCACTCCAGGAGGACTAAAAGGCCCACGGTTACCAGGACAGTTCCTGCGATGGCAGTAACAGAGAAAATGCTAAGGAGAACGTTCCAGGTAGTGAGCAGCAGCACCACGAAGGAAATGGCTATGGAGAGCCCCATGACCACCGTCGTTTCTGTGCTGAGACTGTGCTGGAGGTTGTATAGCTCTAGTTTACTGGTAAACCACCCATTCTGAAGCCCCACGGGGGCAGTTTTCATTTCCTCCGTTACCCAGAGGTTGATTTCCTCGTAGAATTGTTTGGCTTTGCTGTAGTTGAAGCTATAGTGGTAAATAGTTTGAAACCGCAGCACTAAGGCAGCGAGATTTCCCTCCATGTCAAACCTGAGGCCCAGATCATACGTTTCTGCCTCTTCCCTGCCTTGTTCCAGGAGCATCATTTTGATGCAGTGTAGGAAGACTTCGCTTCCGTAAGGGAAGGAGAACTGGTTGCAGCAAAGGTTGAAGCTGTGGTCTCGCTGGGAGCACTGGCGACTGTCCATCCACCTGAGGAACTCCTCCATGAAGCACACAGTAGATTTCTGCTCTGCGTCGGCATAATAGAAAGTTTTGTTCTTCACTTTTTGGCAGAATTCGAGAAGCCACTTCTGGGCATCAGGGTTTTGGATGGTGAAGGTGACGTCTGTCACTAGGGTGCCATTGCTTTTTGGATTGAAATGGTCCCCGTTATCCACGGGCAGAATGCCCCAGACTATGGTGACAGGCATACGCTGCCCTTCTCCATGCTCCAGCCTCTCAAACATGAACTGGTGGCAGTACTCGGAATCGTACCTCTCAAAGGGGTGGCTCAGTCTAAACACCTGGACAGATGACGTCTCGAGAGTCGGGAGTTTGAGTTTTGGGTTGGAACAGGAAATGTAGGCACCTCCTATCGCTAAGGCAGCAAACCAGCAGATCCAGATGTACCGAAACTTGATGACCCCGCAAGGCAGAAGCTTTTCAAATAGCAGCTTGGAGGTTTCAGACAGCGTGTTCTGGAGACCCCTGAGAATGTAATGGAGGGAGAGAGCGACTCTCTTATGGCCGGTGTTGTTCCAGTAGTCTTCTGGCTTGTAAACACAGGTCGTTGCTATGTAGCGCTCATACAGCACAGCCGAAGAAGGAAGCCAAGTCATCATGAATACCAGATTCACCAGCACGGAGGTGCCCATGTAAATAGCAAAGCAGCGGATGGCTATTATATTGCTGATGTAGCTGGCATAGAAGGCAGCACCCGTCGTGAAGCAAGATGCCAGCATGAGATACGCAAAATGGTGCATGGTTTGACTCACCCACTGAGAGAGCCCAGCGGAAGGGTTCTGGTTCTTGCTGAGGTTCCAGAGGTCGAAGAAGACAAAGGTGTGGTTGGCACAAATGCTGCTGAGGATGATGACTGCTGTCAGGTTTACAAAAGGGAAATAGGCGAATCTGAAGGCCACCTTGTACAAGAAGTAGGAGATCATTAAAGAACTGACAACAGCGAGCAGGACCATCAAAGTGATAAAGACTGAGCGTAAATAAAAAGAAATGCTTAGAAAAATAGCTAATATTGCCAGGACTGGATACTTAGTATCCAGTAAAAGGTAGTGCTGGAATAGTTTCTGTTTAAGGCCCAGGTCCATTCCAGTGATAGATGTATAGTTATCAAACAGATCCCAGGATTCAAGATTGTCTAAGTAGATCCCCATCATAGATGCACCTTTCCTTGTAGGCAAAAACAGCAGGCTGTATTTGAGAGACGGCACTTGGTACTCCATCGTCTGGGGACTAAGAAAGTCTCTGTCAACCAAGAAGTGAAGAAGCTGGTAAATGGCATTGAAGCGGGTGCATTTTTCTGGGACTTTAGCACACTGAGA